GCGCGGCGACTCCGCCGGCGCCCGCCCCGCCCCGCGCGCTCGCGGCCCCCCGGGGCGGCCGCCGGGAGAGATGCTGCAAGAAACTTCTTAAATGACCGCGTCCGGCCGGCCGTGGAGCGTTTCTGGGTTGGGGAGAGGAAAGGAAAGTGGAAAAAAACTGAGAACTTCCTGATCTCTCTCGCTGTGAGACATGTCTGAGACTCCTGCTCAGTGTAGCATTAAGGTAAAGATCTTCTCCCCCTCCCTCTCCGGGGTGGAAAACCTTGAGCTGCACCGGCCCGGCCAGTCGTACTGGGCTCTTCAGTTGCGAGGGGACTGTTGCAGTCGCTCTGTTCGCAGGAAATTATTTGGGGCGCCGGGGAAGGAGACGCGGCTCGCGGCGGCAGCGTACCCTTTAGTGTAACCTTGCTGCTCCCCCTCCTCCCGCCGAGCGCCCTGTCGGCTCCTGCGCCCTCACCTCACCCCTTTGCTTTTTGACAATGAAATGCCAGTCACCGTCGGTCTGGAGGAGCCCGAGTGGTCTCCAGGACTGTAAAACACCCCCGTAATTAGTGTGTCTTTAAAAAAACCTGGTCCCTATTCGTACTCCCAACATGTGACCGAAATGGAACTTTTGTTCCCGAGGGGTGGTCTCCTTAGAAAAAAAAGTTCTCCGGCTCCATTGGGGTTGGAATCATTTCTTTTTTTTAAGGGCTCACAGAGTCGGATCAGACAGATTCCCCCCACCCCCGCATTGTAATTGCAAGCGCTTGTCGGAGAGACAGTCGTGGTGTCAGCTTTTCCTGGGCATTGCACAATGAATTTCTTTTCTTTTTTTTTCCCTTTAAACCAAGGTGAATAAAGTCGCTGAATGGTTATTTTACTCTGATGCATATGAACGCTGAGCAATCCCAAAGTAGAAAACTCCCGTGTTGCAGAGAGGGAGAATTATCTAAGTGACCAGACAAAATGACCTTCCCAGTTTGACAGTGCAGAGAGGAGAGCTAAGAGTAGAAATCTCCCAGCTTTCTGGCCATGGTTTTCAGTATTGTAAATGCAGGATGGTGAAGGATGTTTGCAAACACAGCATTTACCTTCCAAGTAGTTGTGTGTGTACGTTTATATATATGTGTGTCTATAAAGGCTAGTGGTGCTGCGGTTTGTTGCTTCTAGAAAGTTGTCGTAAAGTTTGCCACCGTGAGGACGCAGACTGATTTGTCCATCTCCCCCAATTATTTTGCCCGTCCTTGCATTTGGTGTGCACTTCCATTTCACTGTTCCATCAGTACCCAGATGGAAAAGCCTTTTGCTTCTGTGAGAGGCTGAAGCTCCTGAAGTTTGTTTGTGGCTTGGCCCATTAACTGTGTTCATTGAGGGAACCCTGCAGAGACAATGAACAAGTAACCAGTTTTCTTCATCTATGGAGAATTCGAGAAACCTTTCCTGCTTTAACACGGCTTTTCCATAGAATCTGTTTAGAGGAAACAGTATTTTATCATGTTTGCTTATTAGGGGTTCATAATTATACTCAGGTGTTAGTGTTTCTTATCAGGAAAGATTCTCATGGGGTTTGAATTAGGGCTAATGTGAACTGAAAAGGTGGGTTGGGTTTCTTTGTTTTTGCCTTGCAAAAAAATGCCCAGTGGAACTTTCGGGTTTCTGTGTTTGTACATATCTGGGGATAGCAGTATGTCTGCGGTAGCAGGGGGGTGTCAGAGTAAAGATGTTAGGTAGGTTTATACTTCAAAACCAATTTCTTTTGCTGTATAAATTTGATTCTACGAGTTCAGGAAAATCCTACGGTATGCCTGATCTAATTTATCTGACACTTCATAACACAAACAGAGGTAACTAAATACTAGGGTATGAAATCAGTAAATTGTATTTAGCTCTATGGCAATAAATCTGACCTGGGGAGAACCTGGACCAACTATGAGATAGTGATTTTAGTGTGAAAACAACAAAAAGCAAGCCTTCCTGTGACTTTTCTCGATGTCTCTTCTAAAGAGACTGCATATGCCCCCTGTTCTGAGGGGCTTATGTTTGGGTACTGCAGGTGCTCACCTTATTGTACCCCAGTGGGAGGCTACAGCAGCCCTTTCCTTACACACATGGATGGAATCATTCCCAAACCCAGACAGCACACTGTCTTACATGTGACATAAAAATTGCAGCCGTAGTTTGTATATCATTTTCTTCCTTATTGTTTACCCCGCAGTTCTTTTCGGGAGCCTCTTTTCTCACTCTGTATTTCTCTGTAATTAGATTTAATGGTCTTCACTAGTAATGAACGTATCACTTTTATTTTGGATTGCTCTTTATGGAACCAGAATATGACTGTTTGCTTGGACTGTGCATATGTTTAAATGCACATATGTGAAGTGCGTTTTTCCACAGAGTTTGTTTAGTTTGCAACGTTCCAGTAAGAAGCGCCGGAGATCAAGGACTGGGCTTATTCTAGCTTGTCTGAAAATGCTCTGGTGATGTGTGCGGTGTTTCCCTTAGTCCTTGGGATGTGGTACAGTGACTGCATAATAAAAAATGTTTGCTGGGAACCCACAAGAACTGGGATTTTTTTCTGCAGTCCAGTAAACAATAAAGTTTTCTGTGGAGCAGAGAATGAGCGTCAGGAGCTTTCAAGGATGACCTGATGGCTCTGATATCCTGAGGACATGTGACACGGAAGGCTCTCTGTGTGGAGAGATTTCCTTCACTCCTCCTGTCTACTCCTGAAACCTTCCTCCCCGGCTCTCATTCCTTACAACCAGCTGGTCAGCAGGCAGTAAATTCCTCATTAGCTGGTGTGATGGAGCACAGAGGAGCCTGACCAGAGGCAGCCACGGAGGGAAGTACTCTGTTTACTTCTGTGCTAGAAAAGAGTAGTGTACGATTTCGGTGGAATTTCCAGGGTGAAAGTTTCTGAATCAGCCAGTGACATCTCTGTATGTGTCACTTTCACGGTGGTGGTGGCTGGAATGCCTGATACCGGCTTTTATATTTCTTTTGCACTTTATAAGCATGTTCCCGGCACCGCAGGGAAGTTAATATCAGACACATGTTTATAGCAGAAGACAGGTTGACCAGCCCAGGGTCACCCAAACTATGGCTGCGCCCCACCGTTTGTCTGCACTGGGCGCCCTCATCGTGAGAGATTAAATGCTTCCATTCCTGACCATTTGGGGTTGTTTAAATGTAAGGACAGGGTCACCTAACTCTGTAAAAAGTCCAGTTATTTTTTTCGGAGGATCGTGTGGCTGACTGCTGGGTACGGGAGAAAGGAAGAGGCTATCTTTTCCATCATCAGCCTTCACCTTCAAGTCACCTGTTCAGTTTTAACTTCAGCCAAGTTGCAGTGGAAAGTAACTATGGCCCAGCAGACACAGCCCTTCGTAAGGCTCGGCTGGGCGGCCGGCTAGAACTATCCAGGATAGTACAGAGAAATAGTTGCCTAACATCCCTGGCCCCTCCTTTCCCTGCCCTCCGTACTGGTTGGCTTTTTTAGCGGAATGCAGTCTCTATTTTGCTGCTTTCTGGGAGTCTCTGGGTTTCCCCTCCTGGACTCTGAGCTCCTTGGGTTTAGTGGCGATTATCTTTGCGTCCTGGTGCCCACCTTGGCACCTGGCTCAGAAATGTGTGTCAGTAATGTTTGCTGATTCGCAGTGAAGCATGGAAGGAGGTCAGTACCCTTTCCGCTCTCTGTCCTGTGTGCTCGGAGTGACTTAACACTTCACCCACAGGCTAGCAAACAGTGGTTACTAGGGCCACTCTGCTGTCACAGGGAGGCCTAGAGCACTCCCTTGGGTGTCTGCCTAAAAATTATTACTGGTAGAATTTTGGCCTAATAATAATGTTTTCTTATTTTGATAACATTTTCAAAAACTGCTTTTGTGTCTCAATAAACAACAACATGGAACTGGGTAAAAGATACGAGACAGGGGCTTGAGGAATCACTGGAGAAGGTTCAGATTGGCAGGCTTCTAAGTTTTCCACAGGGTCTTCAGCAAGTGAATCAGGGAACTTTGAGAATCTAAGAGCTGAGAGACTATAAAGATCACCTGGGCCAATGTCTGATTTTATTTTATTTTTTTGCTGTGTTGGGTCTTCGTTGCTGCGCACGGGCTTTCTCTAGTTGCGGTGAGCGGGGGCTACTCTCCATTGCGGGGCGCGGGCTTCTTACTGCAGTGGCTTCTCTTGTTGCGGAGCGCGGGCTCTAGGGGCACGGGCTTAGTTGCTCCGCGTCATGTGGGATCTTCCTGGACCAGGGCTTGAACCCATGTCCCCTGTATTGGCAGGCGGATTCTTATTTATTTATTTATTTATGGCTTCGTTGGGTCTTCGTTGCTGTGTGCGGGCTTTCTCTAGCTGCGGTGAGCGGGGTCTACTCTTTGTTACACTGTGCGGGCTTCTCACTGCAGTGGCTTCTCTTGTGGCAGAGCACAGGCTCTAGGCCTGCGGGCTTCAGTTGCTGTGGCACGTGGGCTCCAGTAGTTGTGGCTCGCAGGCTCTAGAGCACAGGCTCAGTAGTTGTGGCACACGGGCTGAGTTGCTCCGCGGCATGTGGGATCTTCCCAGACCAGGGATCGAACCTGTGTCCCCTGCATTGGCAGGCAGATTCTTAACCACTGTGCCACCAGGGAAGCCCGGCAGGAGGATTCTTAACCACTGCGCCACTAGGGGAGTCCCTACAACGTCTGATTTTTATGGAGAGGAGGTCCACACAGCTAAATTGTTTGCTTCAGCTGATCGGTGACTGAGCCAGGTTTAGAGCAACGCAGACCCCCTGGTTCTCAGGCCCCTGTCCCTCACTGGGCTGGGTTCACGGTGCATCCCTATAAGAGGCCAAGGAAATTCGATACAATAGGCAACACACTCTCTGGCACTTCCCAGCTTGGTCCATTTTAATCGAAAGCCAGCTGGTATGAGGGCACAGAGGTACGTGCCAAGGAAGATGGTGTGTGTGGGAGCCCTGGGTCCAGAGGGTATATTGTTAGATGTGAGAAGAGGAAGGAGTAGGAGTGGGGGATGAGGGAAGAAGGGCTTCCTGGACTTGTATTTGCACCACCATCTACAGCAATACATTTTTTGTATTCTGGTAAAAAGCATGTAACATTAAATTTACCATCTTAACCATTTTTAAGGGTACAGTTCAGTCGTGTTGTCTGTTCACGTTGTCGTGCAACTGATCTCTAGAAGTTTTTCATCTTGCAACACTGAAACTCTATACCCATTTCCCCTCTCCCCTTC